CATAGTGCATTTTGGTAATGTATATGATAATGATTGACACTCTAAATACAATTTAATTTTTATTTTAAAAATAAAAACATAAATCTCTTATTTTTGTATATTTTTGATGTTTATTCTTACTTTAGTCTTTTTTCTCGTAATTGGGTCATGGTATCCCTAATTTCCTATAAAGAGCTTTTTGTATTCAACACTTCAAGCTAGTTTTCTGGAAAATTATTCATCTTTCTTTTGCTTTTAAATTGTTACGTTATTTAAAAGTGATGACGACATACCCTAACTTTAGACCTGTGCAAACAAGGGTCGGCCCGTTCGGCCCGCCCAGCCCGCCCTTCAAAAAGGGCGGATATGGACAACCTTTAATACCCAAATGGGCGGGCCGACCCAAGCCCGAATTATATATGGGCGGATCTGGAAATCACTTTTAGCCCATCCGGGCCAACAGGCCCGCCCATATTCATCAAATATATTTACTTTATTATTAATTACCTAGTCAATATAAATTTAAAATTTTTTTATAATTCATGTATAATGGTTTAATTCACTCACCTCTTTTAAACAAAAATCAATACTCTTTTAATGAATCAATATGATGAGTTTATTTAATATGAAACAATATCTCTACTATGCTTTTTATATAAATGTGGTGACTGATTATTTTATTTTAAACATTAAAAAAGAGTTCAATGTTTTATTTTTAAATTTTTTGTACAATTTTTTTTTGATGTTTTACCCGGGCCGGGCGGTCCGGTGGGCAGTCCGGCCCGCAAAGATGGGCGGGTATGGGTAAAGAATTTAGCCCATTAAATCCGGGCCGGGCCAAACCCACCCATGTAAATGGGCTAATAATTTATATCAAGCCCGGCCCAGATCCAGCCCGGATCCTTATTTGCACAGGTCTACCTAACTTTAAAAGAAGATAGTTAGATAGTCATCAAGATACCGTTCGATTTGTAATTAGAGAAATGGCAACGCTGCAAAGTGGTGTAATGGGAAATGCTTGGTTCACAAACACAATGATCACAAACTTCACAAACTTATTATTTGTGAACTTCAATGGAAAATATTAAATGGTCTAAAATGATTTTAAAATAAAATTTTAAACCATAAATAGTAAATTTGTGAAGTTTGTGAATATTCTGTTTGTGAATCTAGCATTGCTCGTGGTGTAATAGGATATGGTATAAAAATGTGAAAGAAAAACTTGTTAGATTAAATGAACTGTGAAAATACACTCTTCCAAACCCCGATCTGCCCCCCTTGTATATATCCTTTCAGCAGCTTAGTCTCCAGGATTGCCGCCCCTTACCTGCTATCAAGGGTTAGCAGTACTCTTCCTTGAACTCCCTCTATAAATTTAAAATATGAGAATGCACTTTGCACCTCCTAACTTGTTTAACCATGTTTACTCAAAATTTTTAGTGAAATTTGCACTGAATAGGACTAAAACATAAGTCATTTCCCAATGTAGGACTTAAACTTTTTTATTCCCTAAATAGGACTAAATAATGCCTAGTGAGAAGAATAATGTCAAAGTAATGCTGGACATTTAGTTGAATAATGAATAATAGATAATAACCAATTGTTCTACATTGGGAAATAAAAATATATGATCCTATATTGAGAAAGTCATTATATTTTAGTCCTATTTAGGTAAAAAATGAAGAATAAAAAAGGATGATGATGAAAAAATGTCTCCCTCGCAAATGCAAATAAAATCCGGAGTAAATTCCATAATTAGTCCTTTATAACATGGGGGTTTCCATATTTAGTCCTTTATTATCAAATATTACCCCGTAGTCCTTTTTTTAATGGTACCTTTCCACAAATGGTCCTTTTTTCATCTTCTGCCGTGTTGGTGTTAATTTAAAGGCTAAAAGTATAATTTGACATCAACACTATGTCTAGTGACGTGTTCTGATATTGGTTAAGCGAATAACACAAAAATAATGACTATGATTGTGGGCTAGGATTCTGACGAAAGATCACATTTGTAAACACGTCACTACCTCCGTCTTATTAAACTTATCCACTTTGGAAATAGATGAAATTTAGGGAATGTGTAATTGTAAAATTACTTTCTAATTTATCATCTGCTTACTTTATAGTAGGGTGTGATGCGGAAATTACTAATGGAGGTAGGATAAAAGGAACTCTTTTTTAGTACGGAGTATATAATTTTTTGGATGGGAAAAGGACCAAACTAGGAGTAAAAGTTATGTCATATGTTCAAAATAGGAGTTCAGACTTAAAATACTCTAAATAGAAGTAATAAATTAATTTGTGTCCTCAATTGGTAGTACTCTCTTCTCACGCTCTCTTCTCCTTTTTTTGTTTTTTTCTTTTCTTGCATGCATTTTTAAGGGGGTTAGGCATTGGCATTGAGTTATGGGTAGGAATTAGATCGAATAGATTAGGAAATTAATTATTAATTATTATTATATTATAAAAACTTTATATTTATTTATTGAACTGTAATATTTATTTCACTCATAAGTTTTTAAACTAAAATCTAAACTTAACAAATTATATGTTGTTAATCACCTTTTTACGAGATCAACCCAATTATCTATTTTTTAAATTAAAAGGTTGACTTTACAAATAGTTTATATCTTTGAGTCGGAAAATAAAATTGGACATTATAAATATTTTTATCAAATACTCCGTAATAGCTAACTTCTAAGCCGGCTAATTTTTTTATCCAAAGTTAAAATATTGTCAATAAACGATTCTTTTAACTATATCGCTCGTCAAGAGACGACAACAAAATCACACCCAAAGCTCAGTACCACAAATAAATATGGTTATTTCTACCTTGAACCTGAATATTTATATGTGTATCCTAATTCACAACTCAAATATTCTGATTTCACATTCTTAGGAAGAGAAAAGAAATTTGATAAATATCACCTTTAAGTGTTGCCTCAGGTTCATAGAATGTCAAACATCACCTTGTAGATATATGTCAAAATTCTTAAACAATAAATAGAAACTCAGTAAATTGATACAGTAAAATGTATATACAGTGTCAAACAAGACCACATTTAACGTCACGCATAACCGCAAAATGACAATCATGTCATTGTATAAAGTCATACATGCAACTGCATAATGCTTAACTGATAGATAATGTCAAATATGACAATATATAGTGTCACACTTGGCAATGTATAATGGCAGTTTTGTCAAAGTTTAATGTTACATATAGCACATATGTTAATGCATAATCTCAAAAATGTTAAACATCAAGAAACTCTATTTGCCAACACAATAATCATTTAGTTTCAATATATGTTTTACAAAATAATTTTCTAAAAAGTAAATACAGATTTAAAATTAAATGTCACAACCTATGTGAAATTAAATATAAAATTGAATCTAAAGTTTCTAACTCACGCAAGGCTAAAAGAATTAGTACCAATTTTACAAAATAGTTCCCCAAAAAGTAAATTTTTAGATTTAAAATTGAATTTAACTACTTATGTCAAATTAAATATCAAATTGAATTCAACTTACCAAAGGAGACGGAGGCATCCGAGCGATGAAAAATGGAAATGGTGGAGATGGATGGAAGGAGATTATGTGTATGAGAGAAAGGGAGATTATGGATAGTGCGGTGGAATCATTGCCACATAGAGGAGATGGTAGTGGCGGAGAGAGGGTTTAATTAATTACTCCTATTTAGAGAAGTTTATGTTTGAACTTCTATTTTGAAGATATGCTATATGTTTACTCCTATTTGGGGGGTTTTCTTTTTTTGGATTTGCAACCACAAACTTAAACTTTTTATAGAGTTAATTCCTTGACATGGTATCAGAATCCTAATGATCAAGAGATCACACATTTAAACCACATCGCCATCTAATTTTAAAAATAATAAAATTCACGTCCAAAGCTTAAATATGTTGGCCATGTTGCATCAATTATCCCTTGGCAGATGCTATGGGGGTCAAGTCACAATTGAGTATTGTGGATGCTTGTCTGTGTTGAATGTGTTGGGTTTGTGGAGGCTTGGGCTTGACTTTTGGCCCGGCCCATGTTATGAAACCCTAACTCTTCGTATATATATTGCATAGTTGTACTTGTAATTCGGACCACAAGTGAATAAGAAATTCCGCCTGTTGCAGCCGTGGATTAGGGAAACCGAACCACGTTAAATTCTTGTGTGTCATTTGTGTTCCGTTTCTCTCGTTTCTCGCAGATATTTGTGTGTTGTGGTATCGGAGCCAAGTTTGTTCAACACGAACACAAATTGCGAGTTGTCACCTAGGTTTTTTTTGGATCTGTGTGCGTGCGCAGCCGCCTGGAGTTTTCCGCTGGAGATCTGAACGAGTCCGATCGCGCGCAGAGGAGATCTCAAAATTGTCAATTTGATCTCGCCCTGCCGCCGAAGAGCGTGTGGGGAAGCCGCCGCCGCTGAGAACCTGTCGCCGCTGAGAATCGGTGGTCGCTGACGGGGGAAGCCGTTGAGGAGTCGCTGCTGTCCTGTAGTTCGATTGGAGATCTACGCGCAGCCCCGAACCACCGTCAGCCGCTGGGAGCAACGCCGACCAGAACGGGCAGGAGCAACAGGTTGTTGGTGCCGCCGCCGCGTCGAGCTCTCAGATCGCGTCCATCAGATCGGGCAGGTGCAGCGGGCAGTTGGTGTCGCTGCCGCCCAGTCGAGAGCCTCCATCGTCCAGCCGCCGCCGTGCTGGTGCCGCCGGACAGAAGCTCGAAGGTCATTGCCGCTGAGTGCCGAACTGATACAGCAGCCAAAGGAGAAAAGAACAAAAAAAAAAGGGGTTTCTTTGGACTTTTGGCAGGTACAGATCGGCAGAAGGAAAAAAGGGGTAAGAGAAAAGAAGGGCTAGTGGGCTATTCTTTTTTCCTCTTGGGCCGTAATTTTTCTTGTGGCTGGATATTGGACTGATTTGGTTTGGACATATTTAATTAGTGTGGTGGGCTTGATTTTTTGACGAAATTACCAAGATCTGAAATTAGTTGTACCGGGTATTTCGTCTAGTCGTTTGAGATGGAAGAAGATGGAAAGTTCCGAATTGAAAAGTTTGATGGTACAGATTTCAGTTGGTGGAGGATGCAAATTGAAGATTTGCTGGTTCAGAAAGATTTGGACGTGGTTTTAGGTGACAAGCCAGAAAAGATGTCAGATGCAGATTGGGCAGGTTTGGATCGGAAAGCAATGTCCGTGATCCGTCTCTCGTTGACCAAGAATGTTGCGTTCAACATTCTGAAGGAGAAGACAGCGAAGGGAATTATGGACGCGCTGTCTAACATGTACGAGAAGCCATCTGCAGCGAATAAAGTTTTTCTGATTAGAGAGCTGGTGAATACAAGGATGAGAGAAGGCACTTCAGTTACCGAGCATATCAACAAGTTGAATTCGATCTTATCCAGACTTGCGTCAGTGGGCATTAAGTTCGATTATGAAGTTCAAGCTTTGCTACTGCTATCGTCTTTGCCTGATAGTTGGTCCAGAACGGCTACAGCGGTTACCGGTTCAGTGGGGCCTGATGGATTCACCTTTGATCAGATTCGAGATCTCGTTCTTGGCGAGGATGTCAGAAGAAAGAGTTCAGGGGAGTCATCTGGTGAATTACTTCATGTTGGTAGAGGCAGAAGGAATAGCAGAGGTAGTAGGAGCACGAACAGACGAAGGAGTCAGTCCAAGACTCGGGATAGCTCAGGTGTAACGTGCTGGAAATGCAAGGAGGTGGGGCATTTTAGGAATCAATGTCCGAATGATAAGAAAGTAAACATTGCTGAAGGCTCTACGAGTGACGAGGGGGTCACTTTGACTTGCTGCGAGGAAAGCAATGTGGATTCCTGGGTCATGGATTCTGGTGCTTCATTTCATGCCACCCACAGCGGTGAAGCATTGCAGAATCTGGTTGTTGGGGACTTTGGAAAGGTACGACTAGCGGACGACAGTGCTCTTGAGGTGACGGGCATGGGTGACATGGTGTTGAAGACCTCAGTCGGTTTCTGGACTTTGAAGGATGTCAGAGTGGTTCCAGCCTTGAAGAAAAGTTTGATTTCTGTCAGGCAGTTGGACGAACAG